CAAAACTTATGAATATTTTTCGATAGTTCTATATAAATATTTTTTGTGAAACAACATTACAATAGTTGTGAAAATAACACAACAATTTTTTTCTCTAAAATAGAACTTTTATTTTTATAACTCACTACATTTTCTGATGTATTGCAATTTTTCCATGAACACTCTGAAATATTTATTGATAATCTTATATTGCAATAAAATTTTCATTCTAAAATAGAACTACCCAATTTGTGATTTTTTAATAATTCAATACAAATTTTTCCCCAAAATAGTAATTCAAAAGTTGTGAAAATGACACCATATTTTTTTCTCCGAAACGGAACCCATAAATTTTATAAACCACTACAATTTTTTTTATTGTAATTTCTTTCTTGATCGATACTCTGAATTATTTTTGATAATTCAATACTATATTTTCCCAAAACAATTAACAAAATTTGTTAATTGTTGGACAAATCTCTAACAAAAGTGTATTGTTATATTTTTAAAAATATTAATTTTAAATTCAAAACTAAAAAAAGTAAAAAGTAAATTTTTCTAAAATAATCTCACCTTTCATTTATTTGCAAAAAACATGCATTTTCAAAAACTTCCGTTAAGTGATCGTTAATTTGTTAACGGTGACCCAAAACTCGCACACATGCGAAAAGGTGGGATTATTTCCGGTGACAGTGAAAAGTGGGATTATTTTTGAAAGAGCGTGAAAAGGTGGGATTATTTGAGATAATTTTTGTGACAATATGCAATATGAAAGTGACAATTTAAACTCTTATTTAGGTAACAAAAAAATTGTTAGTTATATTTTGAAATTTTCTTCATCTTTTACTCATATTTACAAAGTTTTCTCTAATTAAACATTAAAAACAACATATACACAATATTCCCTTCATCACTAAATTATCGACTTCCGGTAAATTTTGTTGGCATATACATTTTCATTGATCATTTGATTAAATAAAATAGACATGTCGTCATCACTTTGTGAGTATTTGTTCCTGAGTATTTTTTTGATTTTGACTTTAAACTGTTTAATACTTTCAACCATTGACGTGTAATTGAATAAAAATTATATGATATATTAAATAGATAAAACAATATTTTGAAAATATTTTATAAAAATAAATCTAATAAAATTAATTCTGTATCAGTCTTATTTAATTAATGGTTGAATTTAACTAATTTTGACTACAAAAAGTCAAAATTGAACAAATACTCATACTAAATGTAGTATGCAAGTTGTATTTTTTTTCAATATCAATTTGTAAATTAAATCAATTTAAAAGAGATAAACTTTAGCACAATATAACCTTCGAAAGAGAATGATAATTAAAGGATGAAGAAAGTATATATCTATATGTATAGATCAAACTTACCTATATTTTTATAAAATAATTAGTAGTACAAGAAAAAAAATATAATTCCTATCACAACTTCTTGTTTGGTAAAAATAATGGGGTAGCGAAATGGGGGTACGTATCAAAGACTCAAAGTATATAGATTGAATATAAAAAAAGGATAAACCGCGACTCGCCCAGACGGTCACTGAGAAGAAGTAAATTGGACTTTCATTGCAGATTGGTGGCAAAGAGTGGAGTCTGCACCTAGTACTTGCAGAGGCCCTATGCTAAGCATAGGGGTGGACACGGTACCGGTACGGTACCGTGACCGGAAACGGTACCGCCGGTACCGTTACCGTCGGCCGGGACGGTCCACTGGTTCCGGGAACCGGTACCGCTACCGCCCACTCCGGTACCGGTTCCGGTGCCCATTTTTCGGTACCGGCACCGGCGGTACCGGTTCCGGTACCGTAATTAATTTTTTTTTATTTTTATTTTTTATTTCATTCTTTCCTTTATTAATTTCATTTTTAGAGTTTTTTATTTCATCCTTTCTTTTAACAATTACACATTTACAATTCTATACTTTAAAATTTTAATAAAAAAGCAAAAAAAAAAAAGAAATTATGGGTGGCCGAAACGGTACCGGAACCGGTACCGGCCGATCCGGTACCGGTACCGGTACCAAGGGGTGGCGGTACCAGAACCGGCGGTTCCGGAACCGGAACCGTCCCGGAACCGTACCGTGTCCACCCCTAGCTAAGCATAGTTGTCTCCCACAGCAGTTTCCAAGAATCGAACTCGGGTCTTACCCCCTTGACACCCGTTGCCAACCGCGCAAATTGAATGTAATTGTGCTTGAGTGACATTACCATATACTAATGGTATCAAAGTTGACATTGCCATGGTCTCGGATACAGTACAATCAATATTTGTCCCTCTGTGTGATTATTTCTAACATACTATTAATATATACCATGATGTTATTGATGGTGTCAGAGTATAATTAGTCATTCAGAAATGCAGTTTTTGATGACTCTTGATATTTACACTCCAAAAATTACTAATGGCACTTCAATCTCTTTCCAAAATGATTAAAGTGACTATTATATCCTTCTGATATGCTTGTTCATTTTCATCCATTGTTTGGTTTTTTATTGTTTTGCTGTTTTATGTCTTATTCAGGGCAGGTCCTGAGACTTCAACAGCCTGGGCTGAGACAGGAAAAAAAGGCCTTGGAACTCTTATCCCTAATTCCCTATTGGTCTAAACAATTAAAATATGTAAACTAAATATATTTAAATGACAATTAACCCAATAGTATTAAAAGAAAATAAGTAAATGACAAAATCATAGTAGTATAATTACATACTGTAAAAGCTATCAGGGAATTCGTAAATTTCTCCTTGCGTTTTTTAGAGCAAATTGATTGATCACATCTTAGTGAAATCAAATACGCAAATACAAACTTTAAATTTCCAAAAAAAACAGATCTTCAGATTATTAAATTAATAGATTTTCATATTTTCACAACAAATTCATAACAATCAGCAAAAATTTCAAATAAAGATTTTCAAATTTTTCAAATGACAAATTCATATACTCCCTCCGTCCCTCATAGATCTTCTCAATAGCCCTTTTTCTATGTCCACAATAGATCTTCTCATTTCATTTTTTAACAATTAAAATACCACAACTACCCCCACTTACTTTATTTATTACACCTCACCCACCTCTTTTAATACACTCCACCCATTTTTCATTAAGGGTATTATGGTAAATTTTCACCTTTTTTCAACTCTCCTTAAAAATCACCAAAAGTCAAAATGAGAACATCTTAGGGGGACGGAGGGAGTAATAAATTGAGAAGGTTTGGAGATTAGTCCTAGCATTTCAGTCCGTGCCTTACAGATTAGCGATAGCATTTTAAATAAAATTTTAGCGGTGCAGATTACTTTGAAAACCCTAACGCTGCCCGTAGATAGCCTTTTCAAAACGCTAACTCTAATCGCTAATGTTATTCCCAAACGGGCCCAAAAATAGGAGGGCTAGCTAGGCTGGGCTTCTATATATATATATATATATATATATATATATATATATATATATATATATATATATATATATATATATATATATATATATATATAATTAGGCCCCTTAAATTGTTGGGCTTGGCCCGGTCGTACTGCTTGTCCCCTTAATGGGCTGGCCCAGGTCTTATTTTGACTTTTCTCCTTTTCTAAATTAGATTTTTATATACGGAGTATGTTGGTTTGCAACTTTGCATTCATTGTTTTTACTCCGTAATCATTTCAATAAAAAAGTTAAAACAACAATTATTTTTTGGAACAATCATCATTTGTAACTTTTTTATAGTATTTGACTATGAAAATAGTATATTTAAATATTCTAGACTAGTATTGGAATAATTAGAACTAAAAACAAATTCGATCGAATAATATAAAAAACGAATTCAATTCCGGGGCATAAAACGATTTCTTACGAACAAGAATTGATAAATAGTTGTTTTTGGGTACAATTTTTTACGAAGTAAAAGAGATGAATGCAAACCAACAATAAAATCTAATTAAAAGGAGAAAATTTGAAATAAAATATTAAAAAACGGCAAAACAATAAAAAAGAAGCAATTGATGAAAATGAACAAGCATAATAGAATAGAAGGGTATAGTATAACAGTAATTTTAGTCACAAGCAATGAAGTGTCTAGTAATTTTTGTAGTGCAAATATCAATTAAGAGCCGTTTTTCTTCTTTATCACATATTCACATATTTAGGTGTTATTAAATTACATTTTGGGAATTTCTTTGCCCGCTTGAGTGGTAGGAAGTCATTCCCTGGGATTCTTATGGAAGTTTACGTACCCTGATTTGAGCTCTAGCGGAGACGGAGACGTTGGTTCTTTGTGTGTTATTAGATTAAAAAAAATATGAAGAGACTCTACATTTTAATAGAATCGATAGTACTAAAAAAAGGAAAGTAGGAACCCTTTTTGCGAGTATTGGGTATCGTGTGGAAGGCAAAAATATATCTAACCCCAGTTTGGTACACGGAATTCAAATTATGGAATTGGAATTGAGGACTTCAATTCCAATTCTAGTGTTTGGTAGCACAAAAACTATGTGGATTTGGAATTGGTAGTGCAAAAAATTAATTCGAATTGATGAATTCAATTCTAATGGAGTTTTAATTCCAATTCAATTTCAATTCCAACAATTCCGTATACCAAACGGACCCTAAGGCTCCGTTTGGTATGTGTAATTCAAACTATGGAATTGGAATTGAGGACTTCAATTCCAATTCTGGTATGTGATAGCACAAAAATTATGTGGATTTGGAAATGATAGTGCAAAAATGAATTCGAATTGGAAAAATTCAATTCTATGGAATTGAATTCGATGGACTTTCAATTCCAATTCTGTCAATTCCGTATACCAAACGCAGCCTAAGGGGTTTCAAGAATGTGTACTTTTTCTTGCAGATTCATTGAGACACATACATACATCTGCATTAGCAGTTGGGCTTGCAGTCATCATCACTGCAGCAATCACCATTTTCAAGCTGTTCACATGAAGCATTGAAATGCCCAGAGCTCTCCCCAATGTCACTCATATTAATACTTCAGTCTGGAGATTGTTCGCCGTCTTCCCCATCACCGTCACCGCTTACATCTGCCATTTCAATGCTTAGTCACTTTAACTTTCATGCATTTGGGATTTCAAATGATGGGTACAGCTTATTATACAGTATTCATGTTGGGAAGCAGTTTTCTGCTGCCATTATTGCATTGAAGCAAGCAGTTTTCTTTTTCTTGATATATAGATGCCAAAGAATTCTCTTGGTTCCATCATATTTGGAGAAATGTTTTGTTTTGGGAAGGCCCCACAAGAATCCTCTCTCTCACTCACTCACTTCTTTCTCCATCCAAACAACCAAAAAGTCCAAACAATAATTTTCTCCCCATTTTGGCATTAAAATCATGTACCTTAGAGTCAAATGGAGCACACTGTGGCCCTTTGATAAAATTGGTGTAATATTATGAATACCAATTTCCCACGTGTTTTGAGCAAAATAACAATTTATTTTATTATTTTCTAGTTCAATGCACGTGAAAGGTTTTATACTCTAGCACACGCGATGCATATGAAATAGAGGGAGTGGATTCTAACCCGGAGGGAAATGGATTGTGTTAGAATTTACTAAACATTTCCAGGGCCACAACAACAAGTTTGAGCTTTTGGTTGGGTTGACTCCTTTTCATGCTAACAGAGTCTTGTTGACTAACAGATCACGGTTTCGAAACTCAGCGTCAACTAGTTTTAAAAAATTAAGGTTTCACGTGCATGACTCGAAAAAAGACTACGCCTGCACGTGAGGGAGCGTGTTAGAATATAATAAACATTTCTTTAGCGGCTGGGCCAGAAGCACAAGTTTGAGCTTTTAATTAAGTTGATTCTTTGACAAATTGTAAAATTTGCACAAAGTTCAATTATATTCCGTACCATAAATATTTAGCTAAACGTGAATGAGAGAAATACTTTAAAAACTAGAGGGATGTCTTCAAACTCCAAAATGAATTCTTAATATAGGACGAGTGCCCAACTAAAACAAATGCTAAATAATTCTGAAATTTGATCTTAAAATTTTCTCTTTCCTCGTATATAGGCCTTACATAGAAACATACATACCTAGTGATACCTACATACATGCCTCTATATGTATGAGTTTGTTATTTGAGGAGGGACCTAACCTGAAGTATGATAACATACATCATCTATGAACACACAAATATGTGAGATTGGTCATGATTTTCCATTCAGAAATTGACAACTGAGGAAAAGGACTTGCGCTAACATCCCCAAAACCTTATCTTTCTTATGGTCCAACTTGGATTTGAAACCTTGATGGGACGTGAGCAATACAAAACAACTTATAGGAACCTTTTATTTACACTCCGTAGATAATTTGAACTAAACTTAAAAATAGCACTAAATTATTTTTTGGGGCCTTAATTTAGTGTACCCTATATCATACTACACAAATGTCAATTCCAACTTTAAAAAAAGTGACCTAGCCATGTAACTTTGTTCCATACATATAAAGTTCAAAAAAAATGAAGAAATCAAAAGGAGAAGAGTGGAGGGCCGGCCAAGACGTTGCATCAAAAGAAGAGTTTTGACCGGTGGTGAAAGCATGCTTCGAAGTGGGGACTTTTAACGCCTTAAAAATCTAAATTGTGCGTCCTTTGCGTGACAAGAATTGATACACTTTAAGACTTCAAACAAGCAATAGATCAGTGAGATATTTAGAAACGTCATAAAGCAAAACAGACCAAACATATATATCTACATAACCTTTTTTTAGACTTGTCCATATTATTTATCCAACATGTCTCGGCAGTTCTCGGTAACAAAGCCAAAGGAAAGAAATGAAAAGTGTAAGAAATAAACGGCTCTCTCACCAAACCACTACCCCCTCCACCAATATTTACAAAACCCTACTAAAACACTACCACCACTCCTTGAGTCTTCTTCATCTCCAGGGGGGAAATGGGAAAAACACATCCTTCTTTCACCTTCACAAGTTGGAGAAGTCCGTCCTCGTTATTCCCATCCTCTGATGGTAAAAAGAGACGGTAAAAAAAACGCCTTCAAAACTGGCATGAAGTACCAAGCCTCTGCCACTGCCCCCGACCGAGCGCCACAGACTTCCGCTTCCCAAAGGCCGGAGGGAGCAGCTCTAGAAACTTCTCTAGAAACAGGCCCCACTCTTCCTCGTTCATGTCGGACAGCTTGACAAAATTGGCGCTCGCTGGAAGCTGCTCGTTTGCACTGCGGTGGTGGCCAGAGGACGATGATGAGCTTTCCTGTTTCGTTCCTAGGAGACTGGTTTTCTTGAGAGACATGGAGAGCTTTGAAACGGCCGCGTTCTTGGTAGTAGAAGAAGACCTGAGAAGATGGGGAGGGATCTTATTACCCTCTTCGTCGGTGCTCTCTTCTTCCTCCTCCTCCATGCTTTCTTCCAGTTTTGACAGTGAAGTGTGAAACGGATTCTTGGAAGTGAAATCAGTGAAGGCCATCTTTGGACTGAAATCGAATCCGGAGCTGTCTTCACAATCTATATCAAACTGAAACTCGTCATCACCCACTCCGGCGGTAAGCAATGGGAATTCTTTATCAGAAACAAGCCTTTTGGCCTCAATGCAGATGAATTCAAGTTCACTCGGTTCCTCTTCTCCGCTACGGAATTCTCTGCTCATCATTTCACCAATCTCAGCAAGGCATAGTCCATAAGAAGCAGCTTCCTTGAGGAAAATGGTGCAGAGGGTCAAGATGCGAAGACAAGCTTCACGGATCATGGGTAGCTCAGATCGAAGCATCTCAGAGTCTCTTATAGGGTCAAGTCTATCTATATAATCAAGCTCATCGTCAGAGAATGGAATGGAAGCCTGTGGCCAATGAATCCACTCAAAATAAGGATCCTCCAGGTTTTCAGGCAAACAGAGGCCATGGTCAATGGGAATGAGATCTACCTGACCAAACCCACCCATACCATCAACTTTCCTGACTAGAAGATTCCCCGCATGTCTATCTGTGTTAAAAATCCTAACATCTAATATCCCAATCCGATGCACAGCAGAAACGGGGAAACTTGAGGTTCCGTGGTCGCTGGCATCAAAATCATGAGGGATGAACTGCTGAAAAGATGCAATCTTGCTAACAAAACGCTTGTTGTTGTTGTCATTGTTGTTGGTGTTGTTAAGCTTGTTTCCGTTCACACCATCGTTCACATTAAATATTGAATGTGTGATTTTCACCAATGCGGTTGGCGGCACATTAGCAAAATGATCATAGTCAAGAAGATACGCAGCAACCTCTCTGAAACCCGTTTCGCCAACCCTAACAGACCTTTTCAAACCCGGTTGGCCTAGACCCTTGCCAACAAATCCTTTTGGATTGTTGGGTGCATATGGTTCTTCATCTGTTGGCTTCACAATGGCAACACTCTCGCCTCTGCTGTTTCTAAAATAATAAGCCCCTCCAAGTCCACCATGGACAGGAAGGGGTTCAACTCCTGCCTTCATTGCCTTAACAATTTCCTTGACAGTTTGTTTGGTCTTGGCAAAGCTTGTAGACTTCCCCAATATCTCAATAGGGCCACTCCAATCCTTCTGCTGGATATCCCTCCCAGTGGGAGAAAGACAGGGTGTTGATGAGCTTCTATGCAAAGTGTTCCTAGTCAGAAGAAGAGGAGAATCATTCCGAATCGCACTGAGGTCATTCTTCAAGACCATATCACCGAAAGTCAAGGAACTCTCCTCAATCGGAAAATTGAGAGCGATCTGCAATCTCCTTTTCACAGTATGTGCGTTGTCACTGCGATCCAACTCCATACCCAGAACACAGCCAGAATCAGTTTGCACAAATACACGTCTCCTTCCAGTAGTAGGTTTGGCTTCCATCCTCTTGTTTCCTGGGTATTCCCCAACAAGTGGGCTTCGTAGAGGTACCACGGCCATTTGGGTCTGAACAGGGCTGTCTAGGTTAGGAGACATGAGAAGACAGGACAGAAAAGACAGATCTCACAATCGGCAACAGAGATGGAAACAGCAGAGAGTAGCCTACCCCGCACTCTCAATCGAGAGCCCAACTCAGAAGCCGATTGTGATTGAGCCAAAAAGTCACTCAATCCAGAAACAATCATATAAGAGGCACACAGGTGCAAACCAAAAATAATCACTGATATCGCAAAACAGTTGATGGCAGAACACAGGAAGAGAGAAAGTGAACGTATCCAAATTTCTACATCGAAAGAGCCATTTGCCTACTGAAGACCAAAGCGACCTTCAATCTGTAAAAATCAACAAAAAAACGAAGCAGGAAACCCATATGAGAGATAAGAGCATCAAAAATCTAATTCGGACTGCAACAGTGTGCAAATCCTCAATAAGAATCCAGAAAAGTATTCTAATTTCCAAATCCAAGAAACAAAAGACGCAGGAGAGTTGCCACAGCAGGAAATCAAAATTCAATGCAACATCTGAGACTATATCCAGCCTTTCCATCTCATCAACGGCATCGGATAATTGAGCTTTACAGAAAAAACCTCCATAACATTGGACAATTTCAGCTACTACAATCCCTTCAATAAATACTTTGACATTACTGAAAGGATTTAACAAGTACTATTTAACTAAATTTCATTCTGGATTCGTCTCCACTTAAATTAGAATACAAACGAAAAACGCAGTAACAGTCCTATAACAATTCTATAAATCGCGCATAATCACATTTTTAGCAAAAAAAACAAATCACGCATCAAACTCCATCATTCAAAGCGGATCAGCCGACATTCAATAGCCGATCGAAGAAAAATTAACAGGCGAAGAGAGAATCGAAGTGAACATAATCACCTGGCGTTCAGATCTGAGGCGTAGAAAGACTAAGGATCCTCGAAGTTCCCTCCTCCTTCCTCAAAAACTCGGAATCAAAAAGGTCCGTCAACACATACAGCACGGATTCAGCAGAGCCAAAAAAACCCTAATTCTCCAGTCTTGAGTTTCTCTCTCTAAAAGAAGCTTCGTCCACTCTCTCTCTCTCTACAAACCAGAAAAACTTGTCTCTGTATCCCTATCTGTATACTGCGGTGTGTGTATTCATTGGGGGGACAGAGAATTTATATTCTCTCTCTCTAGAAATATAAAGTCCGTACAGTGGAGGAGAGAGTGAATCGGGGTTGAGTGAATATTTAACCATGGTTAAATGTCGTCACAGTGGCTTGAGGGAAACGTCTGGAAGATGAGCTCTCCGCCGTTGGATTCGAAGATGAAGGACGAGATCTCGGCCGCTAATGAGTAAGAGTGACGTGGAGATAAGGGACTTGAGGGTGACGCCGCTGGGCCCCCCGCGTAAATGACACGTAATCGAAACCATTTACCGCGATGTGTAATAGTCAAATTATCCTATTGAGAGACTCTTCTTTAAGAACTGAAAAAAAGAGTTCAATGTTCTAAGAAATTACAAAAAATTAAAAGGAATTGAAAAAAATTGGAAGGAACTGGAAAAACTGAAACGAATTGGAAAAACTTTAAAAAATTGAAAAACCTAAAAAAACTTTAAAACCATTTATTTTAAATTCTTGTTGTTATAAATTATTATTATTATTATACAAAAAAAAGTATTATTATTTTTAAAATACATGAAACTACTTTTGCAAAAAATAATTATAATATAAAATTAGAATAAATATAAAAATATTAAATTTTAAAAAGTCTTTGTGTTGCACCTCAATTTATTTATGAAGTATTTATTACAAGATTTTGTTTTAAATATCAGACATGTCACATAATGTAATCAAACCTATTTTTTATTTCATGATTGACATTTTATTTTCATTGAAGTCCTATTTTTGGAATAAAGACATAGAACTTTTTTTTACATTTTTTATGTTTTATTTATATTTTAGTTTTTTTCTCTAAACTATTTTGACTTACATCTTTTTTTATAAAAAAATAGGAAAATGAGCAAATTTTAAGTAATAAAGGGAAGTAAAATTTGCACTAAATAGGACTAAAACATAATGACTGTAACACCCTAATCCATCCAGGTCTGCAGCCCCTTTCGGACTAAAGTATTTAACTTGGTAATCGTAAAAATTTAAAACTTTTCAAACACTTTTATTTATCACAATAATATTTTTCATAACACATACATTACGGAGTATTCAACAATATTGCGGAAGCGAATTTAATTTTTACATATCATAAATCATTTCAAACTTGTCACATCCATCCTGACAAACTCACCTCATCTGCCGCCAGGATCACATTAATCTTTCTGTTTACCTGCGTGTAGCAAATAAAACACACTACACGCTCAGCGGTAAAGCTGAGTAAGCATATCTAATGCGTCGAACATCCATATAAACTGAATCTAAATTCATAATCAAATCTTTTGATATCACGCACACAATGTTCGTTTCAGACATTCACAGTTTTGGTATTGTTCAGTTTATATCAACACATTTTATTCAATACAGGTACTATTTCAATAGGGCTCTTAAATTATTCTTAATCTAAGGCCAGATCATAACAACGCTCTTAGCTATTCTTAGTCTAAGGCCAAATCATAATAATGCTTTTAGCTATTCTTAGTCTAAGACCAAATCATAACTTCCATAACCAGATTCTTTTAAAGCAATTATTGATCAGACACTTAAACTGTCATTAGTTTAAGGCAAATGATTTCGGATACTTAACTGTAGTCAGTTAAGGCAACAACAATATAGCGATTGATCAACATTGGATCGGGCATTTCCAAACGAGTAATCCTCTAGCTTGGTCTACGAATTCCGTTTATGCATTTTTATCCAATTCATCGAATATTCATGTTTCACAAATCCATACTAATAGGAGATCTATTCTAGAGGTCTTCTAGATAGCCTTAACATCAATTCTCTAAATGTGTATACCTTATAGTTCTTCTAGATACCCTTAACACTACAAATCATTTCATAATTATAAATGTATTCATTTTATTCATGATTCAATCATAAATACTTATTTTAATCAGTAGGTTCAATACTCATAATCATCCATAATATTCATTTATCATAATCATCAATTAACACAACAATTGATAACAAATAGCGGCCTAGCTTCGAGTGTTAACACCCGAACTTACCGTCATGCAACACATAACATTTTTAGTTGTTAAAAATATCATTTTTACTATGGTAAATCATTTTTATAATGATCATAATCCATTGGTATCAAAAATAGGATTTTAGAGCTCAAAAATAGCAATTTCAGACAAATTTTCAAATCAGAACTTCGGGGGATCGATCCGGCTCTCTGGATCGATCCATACTATGAAAAATCACTCCCAGGGGATCGATCCAAGCCCCTGGATCGATCCAGACAGTGGTGTTTCAGCCACTATTCATCTTTTTTTTCGTTCGAGTCCAATTTCGGAGATACCGTTTTTAGTTATCGAACTTCAACAAAACTATATAGAGATGTTCTCCAAGGTTCATAGATCATTTTGGCATCATTAATTCATAGTTTTAACAACAATTTCATGGTTTATGATTCTTGGTTCTTCAAGCATGTCAAACACAAAACTCAACCAAACGACCGTTTATGAACGCAGAAACGATCTATACGAAAATTCTAGTCACTAGATATTTCTACGGGCTTACCTCGAAGGTAAATGAAGGTTTTGGAAATTTTCCGGCGAAACTTCCGGCGATGATTTCTCTCAACTCCGGCGACTTCGGCGACCACCAACTATTTCAGAGTACTCCCCACACTCTTAAGAACACATTGGTAGTAGTTTTAGAACTTTTGGTGAAGGATGAGAATTTTTAGCTTTTTATATAGTGAAGATGATGAAGAACAAGACACAGGATGTTGTGTAGGAATCGACTCACGATCGGCTGAGTGGAGGAGGAGGCGCCGTCTGCACAGTCTCCCTGATTGGGACCAATTTTGGTTCCAGTCGGGATATACTTTTTGGTCCAACTTTCTCCGAATTAAATTCTGTTTGTACCATTGCGATCGGACAGTTAAACTCTATCCAACTATATGTTTTTTATATTTATTTGCAATACTTTTTCCGACATCATATTTTTGGGTGTTTGACTTTGACAGAGTCAAAATTGGTTTAATTGACATTTCTCATAAAAGGTTCTCTCACTTAATTCATATCAATTATTCTCATGATTTATTTCAACAAATCATTTCAATATTTACATTCTAAACAAATTTTTTATTTACTCTTGATTTGGGTCTGTACTCAAGTTCCCAATCAAGAACACAAAATAGTCCACATATTGGATTTATCTCTATGAGAATTATCCAGATTTTGATATTAGATGTCAAAACAAATTTCGTATCGGCCCAAAGCCCAACAATAATGTATTTTAATCAAAACAAATTTGACTAATTGATTATTTATTCATTAATAATTCTAGGGTATGTTTTGGGGCGTTACAATGACTTTCCCAATGTAGGACTTAACCTTTTTTATTACATAAATATGACTTAATAATGACCTAGTAGGAGGAATAATGTCCAGTAATGGTGGACATTTACTTGAATAATGACTACTTGATAATGACCAAAAGTCCTACATTGAGAAATAAAAACATTTGGTCCTATATTAGGAAAGTCATTTTGTTTTAGTCTTATTTAGATAAATTTCTCTAAAGGGAAATGTGAGAGATCTTATATAAAGTTAGATTAATAAAACACTCAATTTCAGTATTTTATCCATAATTTTGTTAATATAATTTAACATATTGATGTTTTCCTGTTTTATCATGTAGACTAATATACAAAAAAGTTTTTTATTCATATTAAAAAGTTGAAAAAAAATAAAGAGTATGTATCGTAAAAATAGTGAGATGAAAAAAATAATTTATAAACTATAGTTATGAACATAACAGTTGTAATAATAATAATAATAATAATAATCACATTAAAATATATCATTTTTAGAGTAATTGGTTGAGGAGTAGAAAGAGTTTGAAGAAAATGAGAATAGTTGGAAGGACTAGTAGAAAATGAAAGTTAAGAGTTTAAGCCCTAAAGAACAGGCTCTCAGTCGTGTTTAAAAATTTATTTTTCTTTAGAATAATGTTAGAGTCACAAATAAACTATTCAAAAAATATTCTCTTCGTTTTCAATTTGATTACAATTTTTTTCTCTGTTAGCCTTGGTTTGCTAAGCCTCATGTTTTGATGTTAACAAACAATATAAGAGCTTAACGTTTGTTTAAGTGTTTCAGGAAAAACAAGAATCCATTAAGATTCGGTACTCAAGAATGAAGTCGAAACACTAAACTAGCGTAGAATATAGGTAGAAACCAATGTAAGGATATGATTTTATATACCTATATTCACAAGCTNTGTTAGCCTTGGTTTGCTAAGCCTCATGTTTTGATGTTAACAAACAATATAAGAGCTTAACGTTTGTTTAAGTGTTTCAGGAAAAACAAGAATCCATTAAGATTCGGTACTCAAGAATGAAGTCGAAACACTAAACTAGCGTAGAATATAGGTAGAAACCAATGTAAGGATATGATTTTATATACCTATATTCACAAGCTTAAAAACACTCACAAAACATGTTTAAAACCCTTTTATAATCATTTTCAAACATCCAAAAGGTTTTAAACAAAATTGGAAATGATTTGGACAAAAATAAAAAAATTGTCAAAATGGTCATAAGGTTCCTAGGTACCGTACGCACGGGACCCCCCTACCGTATGGACGGGACCCCCCTACCGTAAAGGGTACCGTACTAACCGCCAGAGAGTTTTGGCCTGAGAAGGTACCTAGCTACCGTATGGACGGGACCCCCCTACCGTGACCGTTGGATTACTGTTCCTGATTTGTGATTTTGAATTTAATCAATTCTAATCACCTCCCAACGGCTAATTAACATCTTCCACTATAAATACAAGCCTAATCCTTCATATTTTTTCAAGAAAAAAAGCTCTAAACATTCTCTCTTTTTATTCTAAGTGTGTTCATCCTTTTATTAATTATTTTAAATATTTTGGCTATTTTAAGAGCCTTAAATTTCTTATTTTTATACACACTTTGAGCTTGTGTTTCTAGTTATATACTCTCATATTCATAAGTTTATATTGTATTTTTGAGAGAGTATAATTTCCTTCTACACCGGCTAAGTTTTGTTCTTCATTTTTATATATTCAAGCCGTTGTGTAGAACTC